CCTGATTTGGGGGTTCAATACTCCAATACCTTTAACTTTGCGGAACAGGTAAGGTATAGTGCAGCTAAGGCTACGTCGTTAATAGGCTATATCTTCAAATCCATGTCGCTTTTGGAATCTCTATTGACACTGTATAAAACGTGCGCTAGGCGTATTCCAGAATACTGCTCTATAGTCCTAACGAACTCACGCAAGTGCGGCAGGATTGCACTCGAGAACGTAGAGCGTTCCTTCACCAACACGCAAACAATGCACGTCGCGGGAGTCGGTGTGCTGGCATTCGCAACACGTTTCCCAGCCATCGGAGACTGGTGCGTGATGTAATGGTGTTGAGCGGTTCACTCGCTCTTCCTGCACCAAATACGCGACGTCGAACACGCTCATTACTCACGCGGTGTTCCCACCAGACATGAGCTAAGCTGCGAAGGCAGCGATGATCGAATGTGACGAGTCTCTACATGTCAGTCGACCTGATGGGCCAGGTTTCACAACCATATAAGAGAGTTGAACGGACGGCTGCGTTGTAAACTCTGCCTTTCTGGGCGAGAGTAATGTCGCGTCTGCGCCACAGGTGGCGGAGATTGGCAAAAGCACCTCGAGCTTTTGCTATACGGTTCGTAACCTCATCTTCAATCCCACGGGTGCTAATATAGCTGCCCGGGTACTTGAATTCCTGAACGACTTCTAGCAAATCACCAACAAGCGTTAGCGCAGGGTTGGGTCCCTGCCAATCTTGGAGTTACGGAATCGGTGATCCTGTACTTGGTTGGATTGGCAACTTCCTTTACCAACGAAAGCTTCAAGTACGTGTTAGGGGATCACTCTGTAACCCAATTGAGGTGGAATGTGGTGTCCCGCAAGGCTCAGTGCTGGGACCGCGTTTATTCCTGGTGTTTATCAACGACCTGGCAAGAGTCATCTCCTCAAATTTCCTGCTTTTCGCCGATGACGTCAAGATATGGCAGGCGATTGGTAACAAGTCCGATCAGGATCTGCTCCAACATGACTTAGATCGCATTTACGAATGGTCAAAGAGGAACACGCTTCAATTGAACATAGCTAAGTGCAAAGTGATGCATCTGCGTCACCAGCCGGTGAGGGCTTACAAGATTGGAGACCACATTTTGGCGAACGTTTCTCAGGAGCGTGACCTGGGTGTATTGGTGCAGGAAGATCTCGGGTGTTCAAAACAAGCAGAGAAGGCGACGAGAACCGGCAATCAACACTTCGGCCTTCTTCGCAGAGCCTTCCGTCGGTTTGAACCCTCAATCTTTCCCCAAATGCTTAACGCCTACGTGCGACCTCACGTGGAATATGCTATTCAGGTGTGGCAGCCAGTCACTGGATATCCGAGAGGTCCGTGAACATGTTGTAAGCTAGAAAACACCTGCAACTTGTTCTGAACACGATGTGACCAGAGGGGCTAATAGGCGTGAACTAAAGCGGAGCCTACGTGCTGACAAGGATGCGTGGTGGACCAGTCGGGCTCAATAAATGGAGGAGGCAGGAGCAATAGGCAATTACCCAAAGCTCTTCAAGCTAATAAGCACCACTGGTCAAAGAAAAAAAAGGCGTAAGTGAGACAATCATGGAGAGAGCGGGTGCGCTGATACACAATAAGTAGCGCCGTATGCCTCGTTGGGCTGAACACTTTGAACATCAGTTCAGCTGTAACCCTGCTCCCGGACCTCATAATACTCAGACGATGCAGGACGAGCTATGGACCGTTAGTTTAGAGCCTCCGTCGGAGGCGGAGGTCAGAAACCCGATCACAGCCGTCATTCGTTACAGTGCCGCTGGCCCAGATTCCCACCCAACGGCACTATTTAAGGAGGGAGGTAAGGTCCTCTGCAGGGCACTGAGCTTCCTATTGTAACGTATCTGGAACGATGAGTGTGCCGGCTAATTGGAGGGAATCGATTATAGTGGCAATATACAAAAAGGGCAGTCGCACATACCTTGCGAACCACAGCGGTATTAGCATAAAGTCAGTTGTGACAACATTACTGGCCTCCATTCCCGTTCGTAGCCTCACTGAGGAACGTGAATCGCGGATTAGGGAACAGCAGGCAGGTTTACGACCAAGACGTGGCAGTATAGACCATATATGTACTTTGCGGCAGGTGCTAGAGCAGCGCCACGCATACCGCAGACGGACAATAGCTGTGTTCCTGGATTTCAAGCGTGCGTTCGATGGATTCCGTGCCAATTAATTGCGGGAAAAGATGTTCCGAAGACATATGTGAACATCCTTCGTTCTCTATAATCAGACACTACAGACGGCTTAAGGGTCTATGGTGTGCTATGGGATAGCTTTTCTACTACAAATGGCGTTCGTCAGGGTTGTCCGATTTCCCCGTTTTTGTTCAATGTCATCGTGGATTCCATCATGGAGTGATCCCTTGCGGAATCCAAGGATGTATGCGTTGAACTGCTGCCTGGTGAAAGGTTAGTTGACGTACATAATGCGGACGATATCGTCTGGCTTTTCAACGATTATGCGGCGGAGCATTGAACCGTGAATTCGCTTTCCAGAGTGCTCCCATTTTTGGTATGCACTTCGCCACGGCACAGTGTTGCTGCAGGACAAACAGCCAATTGATGACCCCGGACGATATGGCCTTGCTTTTCGACAATGTTGAGGCGGCAAAATAAACCATGTTTAGCCTATTCAGAGTGGTCCCATTATTTGGTATGCACTTCGGAACTTAAATGTGCGAAGTACAGCTACATGAACACCAGCCACTTGATGACCCCTTGACGCTTTCTAACGAGGAACTAGAGGTATTTGATCTATTCACTTGTCTTGGCGGGTGCATCAGCAAAGATGGGCGCATAGAAAATGACGTGAGCTCACGCATTGCAAAGGCCAGAGCTACCTTCTTGAACCTGCGGCATCTTTGGCGACATAATGGAGTTTCCCAGCGTCTGAAATGCCGTGTATACGAGGCCACAGTGAGGGTCGTCCTGTTGTATGGTAGTGAAACTTGGCCGCTTCCGTCTGAAGATCTGAGACGCCTTCAAGTCTTTGATCATCGTTGTTTGGGAAGCATTGCTGGTGTCGGATGACACCAGCGTGTCCACAAAAATGATGTGCGTAGGCGAGTACTAGATATTGATAATCATGCTAGCAACGTAGCACAGAATAAGTTGCGTTGGCTCGGGCACGTGATATGCATGCCTGGTTACCGCTTACCTATTTGGGCCTTGTTCAGTGTACCGTGTGTAGGATGGCGCAAGCCTATAGGTGGACAGATCTTGATTTCGCAGCGTGAAATGAAGTCACTGACGACCAAACTGGGTGCCGTTGGTCCGTCTCGCCTTCCGGGTTGCAGTGCACGTGACTCACCTTGTGCTTCGCTGCAGACTTTGCAGGACATGGCTCGCAACCGACACCAGTGGCGCGTCTGCTGCGGTCTTCAAAGAGGATTGCCTGTTTCAAGTATATTTGGTGCACAGTTATATGCGGGGTAATGGCTGATTATGACGCGTGGCAGTGAAATCAGCAAGGAATCTGTCAAGCCGATGCCGCGTTTTCTTTGCACGATAGACAGCCGTTTGTGACGACATGTTGTCTAAACATGGTGTAGGCGCCTTGACCAAGAATGTTTGCTTCAGAATTAATGTTCCCAGGTAACTCCCCCTTCTCCCCCTCTTCTTATTCTTTATTTCATAGGTCCTCATGGTTGTATGGCAGCGAAGCATCAGTTCAAATGGCTGATGTACTGCTGTTGTTGTATCTTAACCCATTGGTATCATTTTCTTATTTAAAGTGCAATTCTTTATTACGTACATTCCATTTCTCTTCCTATCTGTGACTTAATTCACGTGACGGACAGAGCAGGGACAGCTAAGGCTGTACAGGCGGGCATGAAATGGTTGGTCAGGGTGCCATACGGGTGTTCCGTTTCAGATGCATCTATAACTGAACACTGCATGATTTACTGGCGCAACGATTTACTGGAAATGGAGCAGTAACGCGATTGTGCTATCGTTCCAGTTCCGGCGAAACTTAAAGTGGAATTTTTGCGGTATAGTGACCGGATGATAGTTGACGGGAACCGTGTTCTTCTGTTTAACGTACGTAAGCTGTTTAGAGTGTCGTTTTGATTGTCCGTTCTATGCGGTCATTCGTTGAAGCTGGACAAACCGCGGTCCGATCGGATTACGGCGGAAATCCGGCTGTCACGCCGAGTTATCAACCGCTGGAACATGCTTCCGGAAAGTGTTATCAGGGAATCTACGGTTAAGGGGTTTGAGCGGCAACTTGACGCTCTTGGGTGGCAACACGAAGCCTTTCCATTTTCCTGAGTAACTCGCATCTTCGTACTTCGATTTCCTTTTCTCTACTTTTCTTCACGTATTGGTATTATTTTCTTATTTAAGTGCACTCCCTATTCTGTACCTTCGATTTCTCTTCCTATCCTTTGCTTACTTCACGTGACTGCCACAGCAGGGACTGCTAGGGCAGGTAACGTGGGCATTAACTGGTTGGCCAGGGTGCGATACGGGTGTTTCCGTTTTAGATCCATCAATAACTGAGCACTTCATCAATTCCTGGCTCACCGATCCACTCAAGATGGAACACTCACTGGATTCTCCTATCTTTCCAGTCCCCATCTGAACTGAACTGAACTGAAGCAGCTTCATTTCATCTCTGCAGTGTCATCAAACGTTTTGTGACACTGCGACTTTTTTCCAAGGAACTAAGGTTACATGATGATGATTAAGATTTCACTTGTACAGAGCATAACGCGTCAGCAAGATGAAAATGCCCATACAATGCCGTTCTGTTACCATAAGCGGACATGATGCTGTAACTGTTGCATTAAGACACCTACGCTAGCTGAAGTCAACGTAAACCAAAGGAACATGAAATCGTTGTTATCATAAAATAAGGAAACTTACCAACAGTGTCATGGACATTCGGGAATGAAATGTAGCGCAAATGGCTTCCAATTGCAAACGCCGGTGCTGTTCTCTCCTGTTCACCTGCAATGTGTTAAATCATTACATTGAATCCTGGAAACTTACATTTTGCAGAAGACGCATTCATACTTATCCTCACCATGATATGATGCGCAAGTTTGATGGAACCACCTTGAGCATCTGTCACACATCACCCAGGAGACATCGCTACCACGCGTTCCAAAGTCCTCTTCCTGCAGACACAATTCACAAGCAGTTGTTGGAACCTGGCCATTTGCACTCCCATGTGCACCAGGTTTGCTCTGCGTTATGCACTTCGCGGTCGTAGTCTTCGGCAGCCGACGGAATTTCGTCTCGCTCAGTGCGCTGGTACCGGGAGCAGGATTTACAACACGACAGATCAAAGGTTCCTTGCGCGCACGTTTCCGATGGCCTGGATTCACCACATTGACCACCGTAGCAGAAGTTGACGGGCATGGAATGATATCCGGACTGCCATCCATCCGAACGACGTCCTCCAAGTTGGTCGACATTTCAACGGAGCCAGGGGCAATTACTTGCACCTCAGTTTCACATGTACCTCCCAATAAACGTGGTATGTTTGCCGTGCACAGCGGTATACTATCGGAACACTTGGACGTGTCGCACCGAATGTTGTAATCCAACTTTGAGGAGATAACCTTACCGAAAGCACGTAAAATATCGAGAGCTTTCAGATATCCCTCTGAGCCCAGACTTTGGACGTTCACATCTATTTCCGCCAGCACCTCTTGTAAGCCTCGAATCTTTATGCGCCTGTCAATCACACTGTGTGTATGTGCACCTGGGGTGATAGTTTCACATTGACGGCAATCCAAGTTCTGCGCCGTTTCAGATTGTAACGCTGCATCAATCAACCATCGACATCCTTCAAGGACCTCGTCAGCATTGCGATTCTCCACAGCCGCAACATGCAATATATGACCGCAAGGCATACGCCAATGACGATTGAAAGAGCAGTCACAGTTACTGCCTCGGTGTATGCAAACGCGGTAGACAGCTGACTCGGATTCAGACACCAAACGGAACGGCCCATCCGGCAGGACTCCGAGAATAGTCCTGCCCTGAAAATGCTTCATAACCCTTTCCCGAGCATATGCCGTCATTCTGCTTACAAGTTCCGTAACCACAAATACGTCACCGCCAACTGTATTACTTCGCATGCACTCCGTCGCTAACTGAGTGCTATGACCATCAGCCATACCTTTCGCACGATGAACGATCACTTCGAAAAGCGCACGTAAAGAGGAACGCTCGCTCAAAGTCCGTTTAAGATGCATATTTTCATTCTCAACTCGATTTGTAGAATTGCATCCGAACATCATCACATGCCGTAATTGATGCGCCGCCCAACATCTCCACCATGGCATCCACGTCCTACGGAAATACTGAAAACATTCCGTATTCCTCTGCCGAATGGTTTCTAGGATTCCGTGATAACGCGTCTCCTCAGGCGTGAAAATCAGGTTCCTCAACAAACGGATAAGGAAAGCCTTTTCCGCTGGGTCCGCAACTGAGAGGTGACTGCACCGTCGGTTTATGTCCCGTAACATGTGGACACGGCACAATACCATGCACGCCTCCGGATACACCTCCCTGAAAGCGTTCATTTGTTGCGCACATTTGTCTACCACAATAGTACGCACGGATGCGGTGCTAGGAACCATTGCCCGCATAGCTGTGACCGCTTCCAAATAACTCTCCGTAGTCTCATTCGGTAACAACGCGTAAAAGAATGAAATACCTACCCCCGTCACGTCAACAAACATACAATGCCATAGTATGTAGCCACCGTAATTAAGCTGATGCGTCGAATCCGCCAGTATAACTTCCCCGTATCGTGCAACCAAACTGCGAATGCACGCAGGTACGAAGAACAGGAATCGCACCTCTAACCGCTCCCTCACAACGGAACATGAACCTTCGCTTTCAAGCATGGTGATCACATTTTCCACCTCACTAACTTGCTCCTTCTGACTGCGATGCCTCAGATGATATAAATCACGTCTGGTAATGCGGATGCCGTATTCCGTTAACACGAAACCCCTGATTTCACGTGTCTGACGAAAAGACTTCATCAACTTCAATACCGCCGCTTCTTGTACCGCATTCAGCCGCCGATTAGCAGGATAAAGCCAAGGTTTACCCAACTGGAATACATGGGAATGCTTCAACCAGGCGCGGCCAATCTCGTAATACCTGCCTTTCAGCACCACAGAAAATCGGGCCTCGCAGTTGTAGCACCTATAACTGAAAGATTTAACAGCAGTCAATTTATCATGCACCTTACCGCTTTCCTTTCACGTTCTTACGCTTGCTATGCACACATCGATATTGAATGAATCGATACCGATAACCATCAGGGAGATCCTTTCCAGTCCTTTGCTTATGTCCCTCCGCAGTAATGACCGTGCATCTATAAAACGAACTCGCAGTTTCTCTTTGGAAACGAATCAAATCACGTTGGAACTGCTCAATAGCCTCGTAACCACCAGTTATCCTGCAACGAAAAGCTGCGGTATCATCCTGCATGGCGGACGACAGGAAACGCGCGAAATGTACAGGCTAAATAACTCATTTAAACAAAACACTTACAATGCCTTCTATCCTTAACCTTAAGGTATACAGAAAAGACCCTTCACTTGACTTCAATATTTAAATGACCATAATACATCTAAACTACCTGAGAATGTTTACCCTAACTGTACCAGGCATCCGTCACGGACAACACTTTAATCGCTTATCGTTAGAAGGTCGCTCCGCTTTATCATTTCCCAATGGCTTCCAGATGTGTCTCCTGTAGTAAAAGTGTCACTCACCGATCGAAGGCCGTACAGTGCTCTTTGTGTGATGGTTAGATTCATGCTGCTTGCTTTGGTATCAGTCCGGGCCTAAATGGACATCTACAATGGTAGCGTATGACCCAGGGCTGGTCGTGCCGAGTTCCTTCGGGTAGTGCTTAGTAATGTGCGTAGCCTAAGGAACAAGGTACACGAGGTGGGTCTACTAGTAGAAAAATCTCGTCCCGACATACTTGCTATCACTGAAACGTGGCTGTCCCCGGATATCACAGACGGTTAAGTATGTTTTCCTAGCTACGCACTGCTTAGATGCGATCGCTCCGTTGGCCGCCAAGGTGAGGGCGTCGCTCTTTATGTGAGTTGTAAACTCGATGTGTTGAGGACTTGTGTGTTCCAGTCGCCGAATCAAACTGTTGAAGCCCTCTCGGCTATTGTGTGCACTTCCTCTGCTCAGTTTACAGTTGTAGTGATATATCGAAGTCCTAGAAGTATCTCCAAGGAGGTTATTGCATTTATTCGTACTCAGGCTGGCAATAGGTGTCTAATACTGGGTGAATTCAACCTCCCTGAAGTCTGCTGGGCTGAGCTATCTTGCAGTTCGGCGGTGGGCACTTTCGGTTCGGATCTCCTTGAGCTAACATTGCAACTGCCTTTGCATCAGTTCGTGGACCTCCCGACTAGATATATGCGCAACCAAATTCCGTCTACCTTGGATCTCATTTTCGCAAAGTCACACGATTTCGTAAGTGATGTTACCTACGACTGTCCTCTAGGAGCCAGTGACCATGTCTGCATATCCTTTCGATGTGCTCTAACTAAGTGTCATCAAGCTACCGCTGAGGCATGTCCAAATATTTGGCAGGCAGACTTTAACGCAATGCGAGACAAAGCTCCATTTTTGCGTTGTGCGATCACCGTGGCTGACACCGTTGAGACAGCCTGGGAGAAATTTAAAGCATACTTCACCGAGAAATCTGCTCCCCACATCCCATTCACTAAGAGAAGGGTGACACGGGCGCAGCCTCCATGGATAGATCATACAGGTAAATACCTGCTCAGGAAACGCTCTAAGTGCTGGCGAACTTACCAAGCGGCTTCATCAACCAGCACCTACGAAAGCTATCGAGCGGTTAGAAATAAATGTAAGCATCATCTTAGAACTCTTTGTCTTCAGTACGAGGAGGATTTGGCTAACGCCGTTGTAACAAATCCAAAGAAGTTCTTTGCTTACGTAAAGAGACGTAGCGGTACAAACTCGTCTATACCGGCTTTACTACGAGCGGACGGGACCCATGGGCATACCGACTATGATAATGCCTGTATACTTAGCGAACAGTATACTGGTGTCTTTTCTCATGAGGCCTCTCTACCTCAAGTTGAGCTGGTCACTAAAGTTCCGGAGGATTCTTGCCTAACTGAAATAAGCATAACGGAGACACAAGTCTTCGGGCTATTGCAAGGGCTAAATCCTTCCAAAGCTTCTGGCCCTGATTCAATTCATCCGAAGCTGATGCATGAATTGGCCGCTGAGCTAAGTGGCCCTCTGACATGCATGTTTACAATATCACTCGACAGCTGTGCCTTACCTTCGAATGGAAGAAGGCAATCATCTGTCCGATTTTTAATGGCGGGGACAGAGTTCTGCCCGCGAACTACCGGCCTGTCAGCTTAACAAGCGTAGTAGTTAAGTTGTTTGAAAAATTGGTCAGGGATTCGGTGGAGAATCACCTGATTAAGTTTAACCTTCTCAGTGCGGCCCAGCACGGATTCCGTAAGGGATTTTCATGTCTGACAAATTTGCTTGTAGCTCGTGAAAGCTGGGCTGAGGCAGTAGACAACAGTCACGCCATCGACGTGCTTTTCGTTGACTTCTCGAAAGCCTTTGATACTGTCCCACATCAACGACTCTTATTGAAGTTGAGATCGTATGGGATATCTGGAGCCGCCCTTAAATGGTTTTCTGCTTTCCTAGAGGGCAGAGAACAGTGTGTACGCGTAGGGCGTAGCCTTTCCGTTAAACAAGCAATGCTTATTGGCGTTCCGCAGAGCGCAGTTTTAGGGTAGTTGCTTTTCGCAATTTATGTCATTGACCTGCTCCAGGAGCTTGGAGTACCGTCGCTATTGTTTGCTGATGACCTCAAGCTCTGGAATATTGTGGATATCCCTGGTGGCTCTGAGGCACTTCAGAGTGCTTTGGATAGGCTCTGGGATTGGTCAACCTTATGGTTGATGCCCATAAATCAGGCGAAATGTTCTGTCCTCCGCATTGGAGGTGCTAGTCCCCCACGCGCTATGTAGTTGGTGGAAGTGAACTCCCTGTTGTCATTCAGCAGGTTGATCTAGGTATCACCCATACCTCATTGCTTCACTCTGGGGAAAATTGGAGGAAGGCTGCTTGTAGAGGGTTCCGTATGATGTGGTTTATTCGCCGCTCCTTCGGTGTCCTAACGGCCAATATTTTTGTGAAGCTGTTCTCAGCTTTTGTGCGGCCTCACTTAGAGTACTGTATCCAGGCTTGTCCACCTTGTCTTGTAAGGGACAAAATGGAACTGGAGATGGTTTTTCGAGTGGGTACAAGGTTAGTGCAAGGATTACGGGGGCAAACGTATCCCGAACGTTTGCTTAGCTTGGGTATGTACTCAATGCACTACCGCAGAATTAGAGGAGACTTGATTCTCACTTACCGTATCTTAACGGGTAAGATCGGTCCAGACTTGTCCTGGCTATTTAGTCCCGCCAAGCTGCCTAGTCTCCGAGGTCACCCGTTGAAGCTGCACAAACAGCGTTCTGACCGGGTAAGGACGGAAACTCGCTTGTCGCGTCGAGTTATTGAACGTTGGAACTCGCTTTCGGCGCACGTGGTTAGGGAGTCTACGGTAGAGGGTTTCGAGCGTCAGTTAGATGCTCTAGGGTGGCAGTACCAAACCTTCCCCTTCTCAAAACCGACTTGTATCTTCAACTTTCCCTTCGTTCTTTTTTAATTTTCTTCTCACCTTGGTATTATCATTATTTAGCTGACATTCCTCCTCTTCTTTTCTTAGCTTATCCTTCACTCTTTTACTTCACATAAACCGGCCTGGCAGGGACTGCTGGGCAGGAAAATGTGGGCAGTAATTGGTTGGACAGGGTGTGATGCGGTCTTTGTTTCAGGCTTTTCAACATCTCAAGCAGACCTGTCAATTCCCGATCCAACGATACGCAAAAGAAGGAACATTCACGGGATTATCCTATCGTTCCGGTCCCAACTGAACTTGAACTTGAACGGACACCGTCTCAAGCTATCAGAATCAGAGTCAATTTATTAGGAGAATAAGATAGTAATCTATGTGATCTCCATCATAAGTAAAGCAAAAGTGACCCATGCCGAATATGGGTCTGTGTGAATGCACATCAATAGTCATTTAGTAATAAGCAAACAAAATACCGATATATAAGCACAAGGAAAGCACTATGTGTCTTGGTCTTTTAGGTTTGCTAGTGTAGCCGTGACATAACCACGCGACGAAAGGAGGTCAAACATGGCGTCTGCATCGAAACACAAGTCTGAAAAGTGTTTGTCAATGCTTCGTTTGAAACACTGCACTGAAGCAGAAAGAACAACGGAACTGGGAAACCAGTTCCAGAATTGTATCACACGTCGCGCGAAACAATGAATATGAGTGACATTGTCCACACGTGGAACTTCCAGCTTGTAAGAATGCCCTCGGGTAATAGGTGCATCCACAATACAGAACATAGGTCTTAGGTGAGGAAAATGTTTCAGGTGAAGGATTCTAAACGTTGTAATGAGGTCAATTCGTAATCTCCTGTATACTAGTGTATGGAGACGTAACTTGTGGCACCTCTGGTGGTAAGATAAGCCTCGGAGCGTGGGGATCAGGCGGGTGACTAGGTGCTGGACTTTTTCCAGTTTTCTCATCTCACTTTTTGTACTTGGATAATAGGCCGGTGCCCCGTATTCTAAAAGCGGGCGCACCATGTAGACGTATAGCCTGACAGCAATTTCCTCCGACCAAACGTGGAAGGTCCGCTTTAATGACCAAAACATGCGAAGGCTGGAACAGTAGACCTTGTGCGTATTGTCTGACGATTTTAAGTCCCATCGGGATAGTACTCCTAGATCTCTAACCGTCGCAGCCGAGCACAGTAGACGTCCACCGACACTGTAAGTTCTGTCCCGACAGCACTTGCCAATGCTGAGCAATTCGGACTTTTCAGCATTCAGTGGAAAGCAGTTTGTTGATGCCCATGAGGAGATTGTATCGAGATCACTTTGCAGTATATCTTCATCGACGGGGGTCGATATTTCCCTCCAAACGTTCAAATCATCTGCGAACAGCGCGCAAGTAGATGTCAAACGTCCTGGTAAGTCGTTGATATGAAACAGAAAAAGCGTTGGGCCAAGTACTGTGCCCTGTGGCACACCACTAGAGGCAGTACACCATTTCGTTCGGTAGTCATTGACCTGGACGCACCACTGCCGCTTGTCCAGAAAAGACTGAATCCATTTCAGCAATTTTCCACCCACGCCATAATTGTTGAGTTTAGATAGCTAGATAAAGTGATTCACTCTTTCTTTTGTTGTTGTACGGTTGTGAAACCTGGCCGCTTAAAGCAGCGGACCTGAAGAGGCTAGTTACGTTCGACCACCGGTGCCTTCGTAATTTAGCTCACATTTGGTGGGAACACCGCGTAAGCAACGAGCGTGTTCGACGCCTTGTTTATGGCACAGGAAAAGGAAATGAACCGCTCAGCACCGTTGCTTCACGCATCAGACTCCGATGGCTCGGCCATGTGTTACGCATGCCAACCCACCGACTTCCGCGACGTGTGTTGTTTGCGCGCCGGGGGTGTGGATGGAAGAAGAGGAGGGGTGGCCAAGCGATGACTTGGTCCAGAGGAATGAAGACCCTCACTTCTGAACTGG